GCTATGTACAGCAGACACAGAAGTAGCGATTGCACAAAGCTTTTTTTTTTTCCTTTATAATTCTTACAGTATTGCTATAAGAAAGAAACACTCCTTGGTATATAACAAGTAAAGAGAGCTCAAATATTGATTAACTTGAATTACAGCAATTACACTTTAAGAAAACTGCTTTCTTAGAAAAAGAAATGTCTCCCATTCTCAAAGTTTTCTTCACATTTAAATAAAAGAAAACAAGAATTGGAAAAGACAATGCTAATTTTTAAAAAGAATTTTCTTTTAATTTCCTTTTTTCTGTTTGATTAAATAATTTTTCTCTACTGTAGACTGTGGAAGTCTTAGCTTTCAATTAACTTCCCAGACACCATGGAAAGTTCAGTATAGATGAAAGAGAAGTGGTTTTCTTTCATGTTTCCACTTAATTTTAATTATAGTATTCTGTGTGTATGTGTGTGCATGCATGTGTGTGTGTGATTACATGTTACCCTGGGCAAGATATCACAAGGTCTAGGCCAAAAAACATAGTTTTTATCTTTTCATGTCTTGTCTTGTCCCTGCTTAAAAATTCTAATTTTACACAGAATGGAATATAAATCAGGACCCACTGTGAGCTGGTTGCCACTTATGTTATCCCAGTCTCATCTCCTTGCTTCTTCCATTGCAGCTAAATAGGTCAAGTCATGGTCTTAAAATGCTAAGGAGAATTTCCTCAGGAGTCAAGCCTTTATCCAATTTATTCTTTCCAGAATTCTCCTTTCTTGCAGGACACTCAAATCCAAGCATTCCTTCAAAGCCCTGTTTAGGTATCACTGTCTACTGGAAGCCTTCCCTCACCATAGTGATTTGTTGGTGGTAGTTCTCTGCAATGCTTCCCATTTTCTCTTTTTAAAAATTCCCTTCTTTATTTCTTTTCATGTTTGTATCCTAGTGATTGACTGCTAACTGAAAGGTTGGTGGTTCAAAACCACCAGCAGCTCCCTGGAAGAAAGATGTGGCATTCTGTTTCTGTAGAGATTTACAGCCTTGGAAACCATATAGGCTCACTATGAATCAGAATCAACTCAACTGCAGTGGGTATGATTAAGAGCCGTCTCTTTAGTCTTGAGTGATAAAAAGATTGCTAGCGAGTGTGAATATCTGTCTTAGGCTGGGTTCTCTAGAGAAGTAAAATCAGTGAAGCATGTGTGTGTATATGTACCTACATTATATATATATATATATATATAT